AATTTTATTTTATATATTTTTTCCTTAAACCTAGCTTATATTACTGTTTAATACATATGTGTGAACTTGTTAATTATCTTGTATAAAATAGGCATTGCTGTAAATAAATAAATAAATATTTCATAAAAGAGCGGTAATTCAATTGTCTTTTCACACATAATACAAAATCTATTTCAAAATATGTTCGAAGACATTTCCCTTAACGTTCAGGCATTTATTAACTCTCTTCATCAAATTGTTATTTACAGCACGACTGAAGGTAAATATATGGGCGGTAAATATACTGGCGATAAATATACATGAAGATCCACACCCTGTATGACCAATTATCTCAACACCTGAAGGGAGTTTGGATGGATATTGGATGGACTTATCAGGAAGGTCATTTTATGAACATATCCCTAGTATGTTTATCCAACTGACAAATTCACAAAGTTAGGAAATACATAACCTTGTAGAGAAAATCACCCAATCCCTCAACAATGCAGATTATAGAAGCCATATTCCTAAATATCAAAGGAGCATTGACAATACACTATCAGGATCTATTGAATGTGCTTTGGATGAAACAGGCATTAAATCAACCAGTACTGACTGAATATAAATATATCACTCTCATTAACAAAACAGCTACTACAACCATTCAACACGATGCCATTGGGTTCAAGGTCACCAGGAGTTGTTCCCACCAGGGCGGGATACTATCCACCTACATATGGTGTCTGTTGACATTGTTGACACACCTCTAAGCTAATGCAGAAGTGCAGGAGCACTTCAGAAAGTGTAGCATGTAAAACTCTCTAAAGAAGGTTGGACAATTTTCACAACAGAGGAAGCAGATGTCTGTATACCTGACTTCCCTTCATATCTTTGTGGAGCTACTAGATGGACATCACACAGAAATGTGCACACAACTATGACCTACCTTATACAGTCCTAATCCTGAGTGGAAAGATTGGATTTTCTAGAATGAGGAAATACTAAGAGCAGAAAGTTGCTGGTTTCCTGAAGGATCGAAAACACCTTTAAGTTTTGGCATTGACCCAGGACAGAGATATCAACTTGCCTAGGGTCCCTTAGGACTGATTTCAGGCAGAGATCTAAGCCATAGATGTATGTCTGGGCAGACCACCAGAAACCAACATCACACATAAATCATTGAAAATTTCCTCAACATCCAAGTTGGTATCAAACAGCCAAATAAAAACTCTCCTCAATGAGAAGACTCAACATAGTTGTCTATGATCTGACTCCTAGCTTCACTGGTCTGGAAGATAATGACGCTGCTGACTCCCTCTATCCTTGAAAGGGGGTGCGCAAGTGGTTTCACAGAACCAGAAAGTTATCAATGACATCACTTTATCTTTTGCTAAATCAACACTGGATACCTGTGCCGTAAGACGACTTTCAGACTTCTAGGGAAATCTACCAGATTGGCCCATTCCATTCTTTTAAGAATGTCACCAAACAATTCTGTTCTCATGGTTGTGTTGGGTGTCCCATTCCATTCTTTTAAGAATGTCACCAAACAATTCTGTTCTTATGGTTGTGTTGGGTGTCCATACCTACTTCACATGGATCTGTTACTCTAGTGTATTAAGCATGTTTGTATATATGTCAGGAAGCTGAATATTGTCTATTGGATAGGCCTAGAGGATAGGCTAAAAATGCAAGAAATGAATATGAAGATAAAGCAGGTTCCATTTACAAGTTTTAATAACCAGAACCGCTGAAGGGCCTTACCTGCAAAAGTAAATCTAAGAAAGTTTCGATTGGTGTGTCAGAATAAATAAATTTGGAAGTTCACAAGAGCACAGATAATTAAATATAACTTTATACCTACTTTTCCAGTTCATATGCACAAATTCCAAATAAATATCTACATTGGGACGAGCTACCTGACCTATCTTTGAGAGTGTGATAAGCATGAGCTATCTGACCATTCCTGAAGTAAGCTGTAGCCAGCAGAAAAAGACTTTCATCCGTTTTAACTACAAAAAAAAATGTAAACAAATAACTCCTGAACAATTTATACGAATTATCACTTTACCTTCATTATACAGACGTTCTGATAAAAATATAGCATCCGCATAATCGTAATGATTCAAACAGTGCCAAATGGCAGCCTAAAAGAAAAAATTATATCTTCATTGGGAAAATTGATGGTAGAATAATAATTTACCTGAACAGGTTCTTGAACAATCATCGTTTCTAATTCTAATAGAGTATTGTCACTTTGTAACCATTATTTCATGTGATTTGGGCAATACATGGTTGTGAAAAAATTAACAATCGACTTTTTTAATGATTTCTTATTGTATTTATTTGACAGAAATAAAAAATGTTTGGTAATTTATATTTCATTACTATTATTATGCACTTATCTCATATAAATGAAAACATATTAATGTTTCAATTTTTTTACCATAATTTTCAAAATGAGAACAAAAATATATGCTTCACCTTTCTCATACTGTACAAAATCTTAAGCACGAAGGAACATTTAACTTTGTATTGGAATAAATAGTAGTTACATGTTTTTTTTATGAAATATTCATAGAGTACCAACATTCCCTATCAGTTTTATCCGTTTGCAAAAGGAATGAGATGGTGAAATCTAACTTGAATGATGAAAAATAGACAAATCCATTTAGGAAAACAGTACCAGCTTGAAATTCATCTAGTTTGTTAGAGAACACCTCATAGTAACGAGTTATTTTTCCCAAGAAACATACAATGTTCATGATGATAAAATGATGATAAAATACAGTGTGGTAAAAAACTTCTGAGGGCGATTTGTTAGGTCGTTTAAGAAAAAAAATCCTATGAACATATGTCCGGAGTTGCTTCGTTCGGGAAAAAACAATAATTCAAAATTATAACATAAAAAGTACAAACAGACCACAAAAATAAAGATGAATCAGAACTGAAACTTGGAAAAAAATAGATGATTGAAGATGATCATCAACATACACTTAAATGCACACATCAGAGAATATATCTATGCATACACATATATAACACATATGTACATACACACACATGTACAGCTATCGGACTGAGTCATGGCCGATGGGAGAAATCGTATCTGCGTAAATTTTGGGTCGGTCACTAACTGCATACGGTCCTAAATTTGGATGTTTACGACTCGAATAATCTCACAGACTGATAACAAATTTCTACACATCTACTGCACATCTTAAGGGATGGGCTTCCACCGACCACGACTCACTCTGGCAGCAGTATACATATATACAGTTTTGAAGCAATACATTTTTTTTTNGCAAGCCAACGTTTTAATGTTACAACATTGTTATCCTTTACAGTTGCAAATTTTAGTTTTGCTCCAGGAACATTTTCTTCTGTTGAAAAAATTCTTTTTTAATTTAATTTACTATATGTTTATATGAGGATAAGGCAGTGTTTGTCCCTACCGAACTACTAACGCTGCTAGTGAGTGATTTTTCGTACTTCAGGAAAAAGGTTCATTGGTTTCAATAAGGAATTTGTTGTCATTTCCCATATTGATATTAGATATTGAATTTTGGAAATATACCAATGAAAACCAAACCAATTCACCATATTTTCCTTCTTATTGTTCACACCAATATGCTGGTAGTCTAATTTGAAATAATTAGTATATCAACAAAAATAGAATATACTACAGTTTACTGCTATGGCTTTTCCACATTCATATCACTATTTTCAGGGCAATTTCTTTTTACTAAACTGTAACCATTTTAATGTATATTTTGAAAATAAAGGATAGGAATAAAAACACATTGAACAAATTCAATAAACAAACCTTGAACTTCGTCTAAAATCACTTCTAAAAACTATCCATGGACAANTGACATTGGTTGACTGGCTGAAGACCGGCTTACAATTCTGAAATATAGACTCCTTGCGACCTATGAATTGGTCAACTTGTGCTCTCACTCTCTTGGCAAGAGACTGGTGATGATTATTAGATTCTGTTAGTGTTGGAGGAGACATCATTCCTGGTGTTCCTGTGTATTCACTTTCAATGTCAAAAAGTTGGCCAAAACTCGGTTGAGGACTCTGAAGGAAAATCAAATACAGTTTGAATTAGGTATATCCATTGTGGATTGGACTTTTATATGCTACATAAGGCAATGCAGATCCACCTCAACAATGACTTTGGTGGCACTCTAGAATCTTTCCCTTTTTTACATCTTGCAATATTGAGAAAAGCAAGAGTGTGCCAATTCATACTATAAATTGACTGCGCCCTCTAAATTGACTCCGTCCTTTTCTCCTGTTTATTAGCTCTTTGAAAAGGTTTGAAAAGGATTTATATCTTTGTGGAAGTCGATTATAGAGTCTTAAGCCAAGTACAGTAGGTGAATTTAAGCTAATATTTAAGTGTCTGAAGGGAACGCAATATTTGTTTCAGGAAAACAGTACCAGCTTGAAATTCATCTAGTTTGTTAGAGAACACCTCATAGTAACGATTTATTTTTCCCAAGAAACATACAATGTTCATGATGATAAAATACAGTGTGGTACAAAACTTCTGAGGGCGATTCGTTAGGTCATTTAAGAAAAAAAATCCTATGAACATATGTCCGGAGTTGCTTTGTTCGGGAAAAAACAATAATTCAAAATTATAACATAAAAAGTACAAACAGACCACAAAAATAAAGATGAATCAGAACTGAAACTTGGAAAAAAATAGATGATTGAAGATGATCATCAACATACACTTAAATGCACACATCAGAGAATATATCTATGCATACACATATATAACACATATGCACATACACACACATGTACAGCTATCGGACTGAGTCATGGCCGATGGGAGAAATCGTATCTGCGTAAATTTTGGGTCGGTCACTAAATGAATACGGTCCTAAATTTGGATGTTTACGACTCGAATAATCTCACAGACTGATAACAAATTTCTACACATCTACTGCACATCTTAAGGGATGGGCTTCCACCGACCACGACTCACTCTGGCAGCAGTATACATATATACAGTTTTGAAGCAATACATTTTTTTTTCAAATCAATTAGGAATTTTTGTATATCAATTTTTTTTATGCATTTGTTATCTCGTACCTTTATAATATATCGAATTTTGCCCAATATTTGTTTTCATTTCCATTAATTTTCGATTGTATAGTTATCTTGTCGAATGATTGTGTTGGTCACCATTGATTTTGAAAGTTAGATTTGGATGTTGAGCTTATTTTTGACCAAATGAATGAAGGTACATAATTTGAATTTATGTGAGGATGACAAATCTAATAGTTTTTTGGTTTATATAAGTTGATTGTAGGCTCCTTGTAGTTTAACTTGAATAAACACTTCATAATTTTGTTTTGAAGTTATTTAATGAGCCTTTCTCCTGAGAATAGTACAGCGAAAGTGTCACGAGAAGCAGCACTAGTAGCAGGGACAAACATAAACTACTCACATGTAAAACAGTGTTATTTACGTAATATTAATTTATTATTTAAAAATATAAATCTGATATAGAAAATTATTTTGTGCTAGTATAATGCCAAAATTGCCATTGCTGTTTTGCGAATTGAACGTCAGGTAATCGATATCCGGATTTATAAAACCTCATATAAATGAGGTTAGATGTAAGAAATGGATACATGCTTCGAGGAGAGTGGATTTAACAGTGCAAAAAATAAATAAATATTCATATGTATGCTCTAAACATGAAATGAATAGTAAATTTTTCATAGTTAATTACCATTGAT